GGGGGGGGGGGGGGGGTCTCTTTCTCATGCAGAAAGCTATTTACAGGGAAATGCGATGGATTAGCTGAAGCTCATCAATAGGGAGCGCCTGCTCACCCGGTGCTTTACAGACTGGCCACCAATCGAAGGGAATTTCAATATTTACCTACATCCTCGTTTTGTTAGTTGCAGTTAAGCAAACACGCAATTCGCTAATTCATGTTAGTGGATGAGTGAGACTTGTTTAAGTATTTTCCTTCCACGCTAATGATGATTCATTTGAATGACTTTAGGTGTGAATTTTGACTCACGGGCCATTGAATACAGATAAACAACAGGGTGGTTCGTTTTAACATCTATCCATGAGCCAATTTAACGATCATATTACAATTACATTAACTGGGCAGATAGTTTTGTTCTGACCTATTGTACATATGTTATTTGTCTGTCACACACACACACTCCTGCAAACAGAAGTATATAAAATGTATTCACACACTGTTGGAGTGAGATGAAATACACAAGGATTAAAGGCACCCAACACCACAAAGTCACATCACAAAATGCCAAAACAGTCAAAAGTGCATTCATCAGTCTACATGAATTAAATCGATCGTTTCATGTATTTGTTTTATACAGTGTGGCTCCGATGGCATTAGTACCCCTGCAGAGGCAGATCATGAGGAATTGTTTAGTGTTAGGCTGTACCGGAGATCTTTGAGTTCTGAAAATCATTTTCGAGCTGAGGTTAACAATTGTTTAGGTCCTTTTGATGAAGGAAAGCAAAGCAACAAATTACTGAAAAAGTCTAGTTTGTGTTGGCCGCTACAAAGTATTAACTTAAGGGGGCTGAATAATTTTGCACGCCCAATTTTTCAGTTTTTTATTTGTTAAAAAAGTTTGAAATATCCAATAAATTTCGTTCCACTTCATGATTGTGTCCCACTTGTTGTTGATTCTTCACAAAAAATTACAGTTTTATATCTTTATGTTTGAAGCCTGAAATGTGGCAAAAGGTCTCAAAGTTCAAGGGGGCCGAATACTTTCGCAAGGCACTGTATATAGTTTCTGGTGTGCTTTAAATTTTTTGCTGTCATACTCTGAATATAATGTTAATGTGTAGTGGAGTAATAAGGCCTCAAATATGATGTCAATCTAGCTACTGATTGAACAGATTAGAGGCTGTAGCCTCGCAGTCCTAATGTATTGAGCATCAATTAGGTTTGACATCTATAACTCGCACTTACAAATGCATGTCTTCTTATGTGATTTTTTTGTTCACTACAAACACACAACAGGGGCTTTGCCTCTAAGCTGCTCCTTAATGTGGAAACTACTACAAATGCACTGATCATTGAGGAAATGTTTTCATTCTGGGACCTTCTCTCCCCACATTGGCATGCCAGGCTTGTCACCAAGGGATATTCTGGGACTTCATAATTTACAAATTAAACATTGCCGGACAGGTTACCAGCCTGTACACTGTTTCCACTATTGGAACCTAATGAGCGGTATACCCCGAACCTACGGAAACACTGTCAAGCCAGCTTGTCAAGGGTTTTGCATTTGTTTATGCTGTCTTCTGCCTGCTCTGGGGTGTGTTCCAGGAGCTAAATTTTGGCACCCTCAGGAGGTAGTACTTAAATCAAGTTCCAGGAATGCGAGGGCAGAGGGAGTGTGCACACGCAGAGCAGTGATTGTTTAAATGTCAGCATTAGAAACAGTACCAGCAGGAGTAACTACCCTCTATATTTTATGGACAATGATACACCGGTCAACAGATTTGAGGATGTAGTTGAGAAGTTTAATAGGTTTTTTGTGAATGTGGGTCCTGGTTTAGCAAGTAGCATTTGTACAGACGTCATTATAAATAACAATACAATTGAAAGGAATATGTGTTCTATGTTTCTGAAGCCAAAGCACTACGCATTTTGTATTCTTCATTGATTTTACCATACTTAGAGTATGGCGTTGAAAACTGGGGAAATACATACAAAAGCTCACTTCAACCATTGTATATATTACAAAAAAGAGCAATAAGAATTGTGCATAAGATGGGGTATAGAGATCACACCAATGTAGCTTTCATACAGTCTAAATTGTTAAAATTTTTCGATTTAGTGGGATATAAGACTGCTGTGTTTATGTATAAAGCCAGGAACAATTTATTACCTGGTGGAATTCAAAAACTATTTAATGAAAGGGAAGGGGGATATAAGTTAAGGGGTCAGTTAAATTTAAAAATTCATGCTATACGTACAACCAAAAAAAGATTCTGTATTTCTATAAATGGGGTAAAACTATGGAATAATTTAAGTGTAGACATAAAAAATAGTAATAGAATTGACGAGTTTAAACATAAATATAAAGGTATGTGTCAATCAAGATATATGCAAGAACAGGTTTAATGATTAACCAGATGGAACATTGTGGGTGTGGTGTATGAATGTTAACACTTTGTAATAATTCTTTAGTATATTACTTGTGTGGTGTAGAAGAGAATCATTTACTGCTTGCAAACCAATGATGGTAAGATGATGTCATGGGGTAGGACTGGATAAGTCTGACTTCTTCTTACTCCATTCAAGCATGTACTAGGTATAAGTAAAATGATATTGGATTCTGTGTATGTGTGTTGTCACATCAACTTTTTACATGCTTGAAAGAATAAATCAAATCAAATCAAATCAAGCATCTTCACACCTCAACTATTAGCATTACAAGCACAGTGTGTAAACACATTCATTATTGAAGAGCTAAACAGGGACTTTATTAAGTGAACTGCAGACAAAGCAGTGAAGACCTCACATTTCATTTTTCTCTTCCAGCCCATGTGCAAAAGCAGCAATAATTCATTAAGGAACATCAGGTGTATTCTACAGTACATATGTTACAATCAAACTAATGAGAAGCTAAGCATCTGTGGTCAGCTGCTTCTTGCTCAGAAGGGCCCATATGTTCTTTCCCGCATCATCCTTCCAGGGAACATAAAGTTAACGAGATGCTCTTTAGAATGTGTTAATTGGACTGCATGTTCACTAATTTATTTGTTAATTAGGATTAGGGGATTTGTGCTAATTGCTCTTAATTTATTTCATTAGCTAACCTGTTATGTCCCGAGTTGAAACAACATGGTGTCAACCAAAGATGCCCCACAATTAGAGTTCCTCTGAGACCGGTAACCTTGATTAGCCATGAAGCTAATTAATTAAAGTGTTAATTATCATGTTAATAGTTACAGGCCTTTTTAACTGGTAATAATTCTTTGCTGCTTATGAGGGCTGTTTGCTGTTTATTGTGAATACATGATTCCAGTAACCTAAAAGTAATACATAATGTTTTGCTTTTTAATAAATGTGTCCTTGACTGTGAAAGACACCCAGGGGTGTATAGAGTTTGCTGTCCAAGCAATGCTGCTCTGGTCAGTGAGGCTGTAAGGATGTACTGTCCTTGTTGATCAAAATGGACAGAGTATGATGACGAAGATGAAGGAGGGGATATTTAAGAGTTAGAACCAAATGTACTGCTAGTGGTCATACAGTACTGTCTTTCCTCTTTTACGCTGATTATTTGAAAAACTAAACCAGCACGTGATGCACCTGACAAATGGCAAGGAAAAGCCATATGTATGCAAGTGTAGTATTTTTGTATATACTGTATGAATGCATACATATTAACATTGCTTTGTACACATACAATTGTAAGCAAAAATAAAATGTTAGCATAGGAAATATAGTAAACAGACTGTATTAATGTTTTAAATATACTAAACATCCAGTAGAATAATCAATCTTGTCTTCTTTTATTAAAGTACAACCATACAACAATGCAACAACAAATGAATGTAGTGACTTTCCACTCAACATAAAGAAATGTTTTTTTAACAATAACGATTTGAGCAAAAACTACTAAACCCTCTCAGTTTTTCACAGCTTAGGCTCTTATAACTCTTATAACAAACACAACACTACAATAATCTATATAACAAACTTCACAGTTGAAAGGAATTATTATAACATTGTTATAACATTTGTGTATCGAAGTGAACAGAATGTGAGAACACCTAAACTTGTACTACCAGTATTTCCAATGTATTTGTACTGGGAAGTAATTTAACTATGGACACAGTAGCATCCCTCAACAGTAGGTTTAGTGGTTTAGTTCTCAGTTCTTTGTCTTTTGGGCAGATAGAGTCGCTCTGCATTGAGGAACTCTTCAATTTTTGAGATCTGAGCTCTGAATGATGACTGCTGGTCTCCCCTCTCCTGAGAGCTGGAGAGCTCCGAGTCAGACTCTGAAATAAGCCCTGCAGCAAAAGGAAGACCTCTGCTGCACCTGGAGTAAAGAGAAACGAACACTTGGGATTTTTGCAGAATTCTGCCTTCATATTATATCAAACTATTGAGTTACAACTGAAATATTAAATTTTATTTGTAACCTGCATGGTGCAGCCCTGTTAAGCATTAAGACTAACACTGTGCTTATCCCCTGCTCTGGGTAAGGGGCAATAGCAGCTGGCCATTGTTTTGGCTATCAATACCAATAAAGTCTGCTCTGCATAGTTATAACTGTGAGATGCCTATAGTCTGCAAAATCTTCATTATCTGATTGTATATTAATTTAGTGTTTAATTTCATAACATTAGTGAAGTAGTTTGCACTGTAGTGCAAGCTAATAAAATGAGATTCAGCTACAAAACAGCTGTTTACTGCATAGCTGATGTCACACCATCTAATAAATTCAAATTCTGTTTCATGGTCAACGTCTTGGTTTTGTCCAGTTTGATGATGAGAAGAAAATGACACAATTTCCATTTTGGTACAGGCTGTCTCCTTAAGGTACAGCATCTATTCTGGTTCATTGGGATTCCCTTTCTGTATGAGTGGAGAGTACTTACCCTGGAGTGGCCTGCCATGACACCGTGCTGACTACACTGGAGGAGGTAGAGACTAGATAAGAACTGAATGACGGAGAGGTTCTGCTCTCCTATGTGAAAATGACACCAAATATTAGAACTCAAATATCTACTGCCAAACAGTAGTTTATCTTATATGTGGTTTGTAAAGACAAAGCCCTTTCAAAAGCAATTTCATTCTTTCTCATGCCCCAGTGCCTTCTGAGGAAATGACAATTTCTAATAAAAAGGACATGTACGAATTGATATGGAACGGTATACAACACAGAGAAAGCAGCCAGGCCCAGGGTGAACTCTGTGTGATATTCCCAGTGTTGAGAGACTGTAGAAAATGAAGGCTCTAGCCTAAAATTAGTTAAACTATTAGCCCATTTTTTTTCTCATACACAAGGCATGTTGCTCTCTGTCTTCCTTAATTGCCAGCACCTGGATCAGAATGGCATTTTGTGGTGATAGTGACAAAGGAGCGAATAAGAGCATGTAAGTGAACATGTTCAATACAGAATGAAAAAGAGAGAGGTAGCTAAAGAAAGGAGAAAGTGAGAGATGGATGAGGAATGGAGAGAGGAGAGGCACCCAAGCATCATTAGGTAGATTCTTTGTCAGTCTGGCTGTCCACAGGATGTCCATGAGTTCTGCTTACATCAGCTTCATCCTTTCCCTCACCACCTGACTTAACACTTACCACACTTTATACAGTACCTTTAAATGTGCTGACCTGAGCTAATATTTCCTTGCTCTCTCAACCTGAGCTTTCTGAACCACAAAAATTCTGAGAAAGCATTATCATGTCTAGTTCTTATGAGGGCATGTTAGGATGATATAAAAGATACATTCATTAAGCTGTAGCACAAACTTTCCCCCTGGGCCCCCTCAAACATATTTTTTAAAACGGTGAAGCTCACAATCTGTGGAACCAATTTATTTGATAGAGAAAAGATTCTGTCAGGGTCATTCTAACATCCTTTGTGGAAAGTTGTATATTTCTCTGTGGACATCACACTGTGGCTATTTCCTGCTGTTCAACATCAAGTGTAATGCAGAACTTAGCTGTGCCTTTGCTGTGATTACAGTTTTTTTCTGTTGCTAACAAGCATTTGTCCATTCTGTATTCACATTTTCAAAACTCTAAACACAATTATCACAACATCTGTCTGTTGTGACCATACCATTAATACAATTAATGTCGTTTTCACACAAAATTTAGTCAATGCACACGTTTCTAAAATGCTTACATTTTCTTTTCACACAAGCTTACCCCGTAGCAAAATAATGGATCTTTCAAATATCTTTAACAAATGCTTAAACACATCATGACAGAATTGAAGACCTAATGATCCAAACTTTAAATATAATGTAAAGCCTCTACTTTTGCCACAACAGCTCAAAGAGCTGATAAGAATTATTGTTCTACTTGGGAAACAGCTGGTTCCAATTTGTCAGAGAGGAGCAAATATCACAATGTGCGCTGCAATCTCAAGTGCTGGTTTGGTCCTGCAGAAAAGCCAGATAGGTCCCTACAACACAGAGCGCCTTCTTTTGTTTTTAGATGACCTTCATCAACAACTGGTGCCAGAAGCAGAAAGGGAACAAGTGGGAGGAAACATGACAATATTTGTTATTGCATGGGACAACGTAGCATTCCACCATTCACAAGCAGTCACAAATTGATTTGCAGCCCATCCAAGAATGATTTCACTTTTTCTTCCTCCATACTCTCCATTCCTCAACCCCAATGAAGAATTTTTGTCTGCGTGGAGGTGGAAAGTCTATGATCATCGACCACATGATCAAATGTCCCTTCTGGATGCAATGGAGGCTGGCTGCAGAGACATCTCAGCTAAAGATTGCCAGGAGTGGATAAGGCATTCTAAACGTTTCTTTCCAAGGTGCATAGCAAGAGACATTATAAGGTGTGATGTTGATGAGAACATGTGGCCAAATGCTGATGATCGTGTAGATTAGGACTTTTTGGTCTGTCATTTTGTTTTATTTTTGTCTATTGTTGTAAACACAGGGCAAAGTGCTTTTTTCTGTGATTACTGATAGCAATGTGCAAATGCCAATACCGTAAAGCCTTTACTGCAGCAATTCTGCCCTTTTTTTTATAATCCATAAAGTACTGATGGCTCCACTGTACATATACTATACGAAATTTATCCACACACACAATTTTAGTGTGTTTACAGTAAGGCTGACTGAATTACTGTATTTCTACATTTTTGGATATCAAAGATGGTTTTCATATTGTATACAGTTCAATGAGAAGTAATGTCATTTTTGTAAAGTGATTACTTTTTTACATTTTGACAGTCTGTGCACTATGACTGACTATATGTTCCTGTTGGATAGAAAACTAGTGCTAATGTTTTGATCAAACAACTCAATTATGAGTCAGGTTTGCTGTGTTTTGATAAAGTTAGTATATGTAGAAAATGGTATTTTGCATTGTGAAATGTAAAGTTTGTATTTATTTAACAAAATGTGGTTTTGGTCCGAAAATGAACCATTTGGCCAGGTGTGTGATGTAACTGTGTTGCTGTGTTAAGAGTTTAGAAAAAGTATTTTAAGTATTGGTTAATGCTTGTTAGCAACAGAAAAAAACTGTAAATATACTTAAAGAGTTGAAATTCCATTTTTCACATAGCTGTAAGTTGAGATCATACAATGAGGAATTATTAGTGCAATGCATGATCGGGGCATGTAAACCATCCCTGCTATTTTACCTTTGTTGTCTATCACCTTTGGATCTGGTATAAAATAACCTCAAAACAGAGGTCAATGTTAAATAGTGTGTGGACATTAATATACTTTTTTGCATATCAGTTTGTGAGTATGTCACGGAACAAACAAACTACATTTAAGCTGTACTGAGAGTGGCGTCACAGGTTCTCTTACTGACCGTGTCTGCTGCTACTGTCTCTGTGCTGGTCTCTGCCATAGTTTTCCACTTTCCCTGCTGACGTCTCCTTGAGGACGCTGCAGTCCCAGAGACACTGAAGGCATTCAGCATATCTGATGCCCTGGTAATGATCAAGGGGACTGAGAAGAATGAGGTGAGATGGCAAGAACAGCAAGAAGGTGAGAATGAATGATTATTGGTGATTGTACAGTGCATTGAGTTCACTATGTAAGAGGTTCCCAGTGGAACAACAGAGCACAGCGATGTTTCATAACTACATTAATGTTTTTTTTACTTAACCAATTATATAGACACACCACCACCTTCGTTGTGCTTGCTTGTAAGAAACATGGGTATTGTGCTCAGAGAATGTCTTAGCTGTCCATGAGACTCACTTGTATTTTGCTCAGAACTCTGTAAAGGCACCTGTTTTAAAGAGACAAAGCTGTCACTGTAAGAATGCTGACTACACCCAAAACTAAGTCTTCTTTATGCTCAAACATGTTTCTATTTATTAATTAAAAACAGCTTAATAACCTGGATTTTGTTTTAATGTATTTGGCCAATATTTCTCTCAGTAATAATGATATCTGAACCACTTGAAAACAATGCTGCAGAATGTCCACTGGACAAATTAAGAGGAGGAATGAGATAATCGGACATGACCGGTTTATGATAACTATCTCATCCAATTATTTACATATAAAATCATTCATGAAAATGTTTATTGTATAAATGTACAGTTGCAAGAGCTCTGCAGGTCAAAGGTGAACCAGAAAAATGGTTTTTAAAGATATTTATAATTGATATTCTGTCAAATACCTTACAGGTAAAGGTCATTTCATTTTTATTTTCACTTTAAATTAAGTGGCTCATTTAGTTAAACTGATGACTTAATTAAAGCCTGGCTAGCAAGACAGGCCATATCTGCACAAACTAGGCAAAGGTCTAAAAAACAGTTATCCTACGACATTATTTTATTGGCCTCTAAATCATAATGATTACATTTTTAAACTGTATTACCTGAACAACCTGGTTTTCTGTTTTTCTCTGAGTGCTGCCCCAGTCAAATGATCTGTAGGTCTTACTGCTGGGCAGAGATGACGTGTCAGTATTAGCAACCTTCATTTCTTTTGTCAGAGGCAGCTTGTAGAATTTTGAGCAGCTAGTTTCTGGTGATTCATGAATCTTGTGAACTCTTTGATCAGATTTCAGATCACTGTTGCTTTTCGTGGCCCTTGCATCACTTGCATCACCTAGTTTGTCCTGACAGTTGCCAGGTTTCACCTCAGATTCAAGGCTTACATTGCCCATCATATCAACACAGGCATCTTTCAAATTAGATTTCTCCGTGAGTTCCTGATCAGTCGTGGGAGTATCATTTCCTTGTGTGTCAACATTTGACTGACCTTCCCTCTCCTTATATGCACAAGAATCACCATCACCATCAAAGACCTGAGACCTCAGTTGTCCATTCTCTTGCTCGGAGATTTCCTGACTTTGAGGTAATGACTGTGGCTCAACCATTGTTCTGACTGGTACACATTCTTCACTCGTGTGTTTATGAAACATTTCTTCTGTTTGCTTCATGTCACTGATCATGTCAGAAGGATTACTAGGTTCTGGTTTTGCTGTAGTTGTTGCTAACTCTTGGATACTGACAGTACCACCTGTTTGAGCAGCACTTGTCTGGGAGGTGCAAATACTTGACTCATTCGGAGATTCAGAAAGTTCAGTGGTGAAATTAGCTGTTGATTTGCTGGATGGCCTCTCTTCTGTGGTTTTCTTAGAAACTTGTTGGAATTGATTTGGCAGCTGATTATGTGGCCCAGCAACTTGAAGTTTCACCTCATTATGACACAGGCTTTGCTCCTCTTGAGTGACATGTTTAGGCCCGTAACTATCCTCAGAATTGAGAGTGTGGAGCGACTGTCCCTCTCTTCCAGTGCCACATTCTTTGCTTACATGACTGGAGCCAGAATCCTTGTCAGTGTCATTCTGATATAGATTTTGTGAGCAGTCTGAGGGCTCGCAGACAGGGAGTGGTGGCTCAGTGTCCATTAAGTCAATGGCCTGCTGTATGTTGGTATTCTTACAGGTTGTATCAGTAGTCGCCTGGGCCAGTATCTGTGTTTCTGGTGTGTCTGGTGTTTGCGGTGCTGATTTTCCTCTCTTCTCCATTCCATTTGTCCCTTTTCCATCTGCTCTATCTCTCATTTCTGTTTCAGGGTTTCTGATGTCCCCAGAATCCTCTGCTGACCTGGGGTTATCCTCACGTCTGTCTGTTGCTTGGGCCATGATGAGTGTTTCACTATTTTTTCTAAGACTTCCTTTCTCCTTTACATCTCCTATTTGGAGCTCTTCTCTATTCCACAGCTGCTCTGTATTTCCTTCCTCAATTTTTCTGTTGTGTTTTTCATCCTTACCTCCCTGTTTTTTCTCATTCATTCCTATATTGTCTTCTTCACTTTCCTCTTTGCTCAGTAAACCTACAGATCCATCGATAGACCTGCAATCAGGGCTTGATACAGTTGAGGTGCCACAACCTTTGCTAATCTGAAGATTGTCAGACACAGAGTAAGTAGTACAAATGAAATCTGAAATTACATCATCTTCACTCTCACCTTTGTGAGAGTTACTCATGTATTTGGTCAATATACTGTTGTTGTGGCTTGTTCCAGAATGACTGACAAGGATGGTGGTTGTGAGTGGGCAGGTAAATGGGCTCAACGTGTTTAGGGGCTGTTTAAATATGGATCGGTCATGGAGGTTTAGAGCTTCTTGTCCTGAAAGTACAATGTAAATGTTCAGACAATAAATGGTTTAAACTGGCGGTCAAATTGTACTGGCAATAAAGATGGCATAGCTTCATAAATAAAAATGAAATAATGTAAAACTGTAGCCAATGAATTGCTTGTGTGTTGTCTAAAATATTATGCTACGTTCTCAGAATAGAACAAGTAATAAAACATGTTCTCTATGTTTATATTTAGCTGGCTGACCTCCAGATGCTCCAGTGGCAACTAGCTTAGTCAGAGTTCCTGTGTCCTCAAGATAGTCTGGGTTTTTGCTCTGAGAGGAGGCCAAGTGCTGCAGACTGCCGAAGCTGGGCAGCTCAGAGCTGAAGATGGGTTCATCCCCTCCTCTGGTTTCCTCCACTAGAGTGGGGAAGACCTGGGTAGAAACAGTGACACTCTGACCATTGGCTCTAATCTGTAAAGAAAGTTATATGCTTAATATGCACCATTCCATTTATTCTGCCTTTATACCTGTGTGGCCTGACTCACTCACTTACTCGCACTATATTGGATGGATGATGAAAGTGCTGTACATAGTGATGTGAATCTTCTTTGCACTCCAACTTTTTACCATTATCAGTGTTTTTATTTCTGTTGACAAGTATTTCTGCTGTTTAACACATGTTAATGGATGTCTTCCTAAAATAATATAGTCAGTTTAACTTTCTACAGTTTATTAGCTTTTTGTTAGAAATGAACAATTTTAAAATTTAACACAGCAGTGCCACAGCCTCCTCACCGGCCACAGCACTAAATCCATACAGTCAAAAAAACAAACAAACAAACATGATAAGCTTCATAATGGCAGTACTTTTTGGTGGCCAATTGTTCAAGTTTTCCTATTTTTCTGGTATTTCAGTGTACTTTTTAAGCATTTGTCAGTTCAGGTCTATAAATGTTTTCTTTGACATATTGTCTTTGTAACTTTTTCATCTCTAGATTTGTAAGATTCTTATAGGCATAGGAGGCAGATGGGCCTCTTACTGTATATCTGCTCAGGAGCTGTTGAATGTTTATTTCTATATTAAATAAATCAAGGATCAGTAGGTCAAAATTAAGATAAACCCCTTTGCTTCATTTTAATCAGCAAAAGAAAACCACGTATGGGAGGCTTGAAAGATGTCAAGTGTACTGTAACTGAAAGAGTTTTGGTAACATCATTAATGCCTGTATGTTTTGGGTGTATGTAGGCTGCTATGCACTTCACCGCTTGAAGGTCTTGCTGCTCACTCTTGAGGCGATCCAGAAACATTGCCTTCTGTTTAACACAAGTGTACACAGACATGGTCACACTTTTCTGATAGTTCAAAATGATAAACAACTAATCCCTTTGTCTTTTTCTGACATTACAATCTAACCTAATGTTGTGTAAATGACAGCATTGCACTGCCTCCCCTCACGCTAAAGGTTTCCTTCTACCTCTTTGTCCCAGTTGGTCTTGGAGGCAGCGTAGTTGTCCATCAGTTGGGCCACCTTGTCTTCCACTGCCTTGCTTTTCTCTCGCATCACCTCATGTTCTTGTTTAAGGGCCTGCAATAAAATTAATCACCCATAGGATTTTTAATGCAATACTAAATTTTATTGTGTTTGTTTAATGTGAACAGAAGGTCTTAAACAGGACAAGAAGAGAGAGTCTTCTTGCTAATACAAATCAGTTGGCTTGTGTCATTTTAATAATGATTCTAATGAATTAATGAATGAGAATTAAAAATAAGAAGGAGGTACAGAGAAAAAATAGAGAATAATAAAACTGTGAAGCCATAAAGGGAGAATAAACACACTATCATTGCCTTGTGGAGGGGACCATATCCACTAACGTATATGTTGTGATATACATTCATGACCGTTCTGTGAAGAAACAATTGGTCGTAATTTACTTCAGACCTTGCGTAAATTCACTCTATAATTATTTTAAATAGAACTTGAAAAATTCCTCTTCTGTGTGAGACCTGCACTGTTGGAGATGCAGTATCATAACTGCATATTGTCGTGGATTTACTTAAATCAGTTAAAGCATGAAAACTGATTGATGCACACACTTAGGAAATCTTAAAAAGCAGAAAAGCAAATGCATATATATCAGAAAATACAGACCCCTTTGCTTTTGGCACATTTTACTGTGTTGCAGATTTACTTTTACAGGGATAAATATTTGCATTTGCATATCAATTTACATTCAATAATCCATAATGACAAAATGAAACTGAACTGTTTTCGGAAATGGCTGCAGATTTATAGAAAAAAAACCCCTGAAATCTCTCATTTACAAACACTGTGTATGGTTAAAATACAAACGCCGACCGGGGGAAGTCAACAATTGCAACAAAAGTAACATATAGTTGTCCAAGAACCTGTTTTTTCAACACACAGTTAATACATATGATCACCTAAATTTACTGCACTCTATTGGTCTTTTGAGTTGATAATATACCTGTTCTTTCCCATCTTACCCAAAAATCTTTACCTGCCCTTGAACTCTCATCTACTAAGACTGATATCATGACATTTCCAGTTTCAGTCTGTGATTACACAATGTGATGTTTTCCTCCTGTCTTTCAACTTTACCTGCTAACCCTGAACAAGGTATTTCATTCTGTGTTTTCTGTTTAATGTGACAGTGAATAACATCGCTGTATATTTACTGAGTTGATGAGATCACTCTTCTTAATTATTTTTATAGTTCAGCAATTATTGCAGCCAGTTGTGGCTGCTTATCTATAAATGAGCTTTTGGTTTCTATATGCATATCAAACTGCAAAATGTAATCAGTTACAAATTACATACATTTTAAATATAACATTTTAAAATTAAAACTATTTTTGGCAGAAAACTGGGTGATGAAGATGTAAGAGCCTACACATTGAGGACAAGTTTCTACTCCTTGTGTTTTTAATGTGCTTTTGAGCTGTTTCTACAGTCACCCTTAGGTGCAAAACATAACACAATTATAGAAATGCAGCATTTTAGTATTGTGTTTACTGGAACACAAAGACAGCAGGTCTGCACAACCAGGTCCACACAGGCGCACATTGAAGAAGGCATAGTCAAAACATATGTGCCTTTTCTCCCCTTGTGCTGTTTTGTGCATGATACAAAATATAAAATAAAAGAAAATGTTTTGCTTTTTTTGGGGGGGGGCTCTGGATGTGGTTAAATGTGATTCTCCTTTCCTTTTTGTGTCGTTTTCTAATATGGTGTTACATTTGTTGTATTATTGTGATTTCTAATTGGTTGTATTTTCTAAAATGTTTGTGTTTTCAATTCAGATTCAATTAACACATCCTAGATAAGATGGCAAATAAAGGCATGGGGAGAAGTACAGTAGGCCTGTGCAACGACATCTGTGTAAAATCACCAAAAGATGAGAGACTGACCTTGTACTTTTCTCTTTGTGTTTGCAGCTCCTGCTCTACTCTGCTTACTGCCTGTGTCTGATTCAACAGCAGTTGCTGGTTATGCTGCAGGGACCTCATTACCTCCTAAACAAATACACATATTGGTTTAGTTTGAGATTATTTGTACTTTTTTTGTGAAAAGTAAAAAACTATTTTCAACATTGTTTTGGACAGCAAAACAAAAACACTCAGCACACAAACACATCAAGGTTAAAGTGGTAGTCACATATAGTTTCCGTCCTGCCTTCTATTTTTTACCTGCTTTTCCGCTCTCAAAGTGAGATTTTCTTCCCTGAATTTTTTGTTCATTTCAGTTTCCTTCATGTGAAACAAATGTAAACAAACAGTGCATTATTCACTTTGTGGCAAATCTTGTTGATTTGATGTGATGGAGACCAGTATCAACTGGTTCTGACACGACCATAAAAACACCCCTTTACCCATTGTCATTTACCATGTTCAGTTTCTGGTGCAGCTGCTGTACATGCTGCTCTTTGCCTATAGGACTGTGGGTCTTGTCAAGTCGGACTGATGTCATCTTGGCCTTGATCAGCTTCTTACTCGCTTCTTCCAGCTCCTGAGAAAACAACATATATTCAAACATTTTAAAAGTACAAAATTCTTCTAAAATGACACTTGTTTAATAGTTTTGTTTTAATACTTAAACCTTTAGGACTGTGACTTGGACAACCATGATATTTATTGGCTGTTAAAGGAAAACAACTTGACGACAAGTTTCACAACACTGTTTCAAACATTTAGTTTGAACCACATTTAGATGCTGTACATTAACTAAACTGTGATGACATCCTTCCCTTTGCACATACCTTCTTCAGTGACACAATGGTTGCTTCTTGTTTTTCATTTGTAGAAGACAGCTTCTTGTTGATTCTCATGGCCTCGTCAACTGTAAAAAATACACAGCGCAAGGCAATATCATGCATAATGCTGTGACAGAACTATAACAGTTTAATGCTATCATTATTTAGTGACATATGACGATGGACAGGAAGAGACACAATAAAAAAATCAAACTCAAGATGATCAAAATATTTGTTTTCATGTACCGTAGCTTATTTTCATTCTAGGTGGTGAAACACTTTCCAGATGGGTCACAGACCATTTGGCTGAATACTTCCTATCGTTTGTAATTTAGCAACAGCCCTGGCAGCGCTAGACAACTGTATGACTTTATCATTCCTTTGTGTAAACAGAGATACTGTGGTTTAGGAATGTCAGATAAATGCGTTTTAAAACATGGGCAACGTAGCTCGGATTTTGTAATGGCAACAGTTTGAGATTACAGTGGCTGCCTGATAGTGTAAAACATATATTGTTTACAGTACATATTTCATATTCACATTGTCCTAATGACACAGCAGGTTAATGTGCTTTAATATACAACACACAGTATAAAAAGTTTGTCACTGTAAGCTTCCAGAGAAACAGCACGACAAGACACTATGCAAAACAAGTTTCTATTGTCTCCTTTTTTAATTAAACATGTTTCTGCTCTAAACAGTGAATTACATAGAAAACACAGGTGCATAGCTTTATTTTCTCATTACTACATAGGATGAGCATGACATGATTTAGGCAACTTTGAAGGTGAAAACGGATTTGGCACTTCACCCTCAAGAGTTTTCTATTAAGAGTGATAAGCACTAAATTTATCCACTTAGTTGATGCTCAGGGCCCTAAACTAGGTGATATTTGTGAAAAGTTTGGAGCACATGGCTCAGTCAGTCTTGACACTTCTGGGCCACAGCAGCAGAAAGTCATACCTGGGTATTCTACTGTCACCCGATATCAAGGAGTGTAAGCTACACTGGAAAATGGAAGTGGATGTAGTAAATGACCTCATTTAGATGTTGTCAACAGGATAAGCTGCTGGCTCAGTACCACTAAACCTTGTTGCTGAGCTGGGAGATCTCTCTATATCCACAGTTTATGCTGTTACAATATCCTGGTGAGTTTCAAGGAACATAACAGTGACCTTTTATTCATTAGCCCAAAATAATACACTGATCACTCATAACATTATGACCACTGACAGGTGAAGTTAATAATGCTGACTAGCTTGTTACAACGGCAGTGTCAGTGTGTGGGATACATTAGGCAGCACATGAACATTTAGTCCTCAAAGCTGACATGTTGGAAGTAGGAAAAACAGGCAAGTGTAAGAATCTACCACAGTGGTCCAAGGAAGGACAGGGTCACTGATGATGAGGTTGATGTACGATGCAATACATTTTTAAATTTCATTTGTCCTTTTCAGAAGATTCCATTTTGTTTGAACCTTTGTTAAAAAAGAAAAATACTGTACACTGGTCTCTATGAAGAGAAACATTCAGCGGCTATAGTGCTGATATCACACCTAGAGTGGGAAGGCTGTTGAACTTGTCTAAAATATTATCTCCAACTCCCCACGACCACAGTTTTCACTCCTTTTACATAGGTTCTCCACCGAATGGTGGAATTTGTGCTCTTCTTGACAGTAGAACTATGGAAGCAAACAGATTCACAGAAGATGTGCAGTGAGCCTCAGAGTGACACGAGTGCCGACCAACTGCTGCAGTGACTCCTGTATTCACAGTATTAGGCAGGTGGTCATAATGTTATGGCAGATTGATATATATTATTTGAATAATAATGATAATAATCATATGTTTGGGATGAAGTGATATTTGGATAAGCCCTGTGATAGACTGGCGACCTGTCCAGGGTGTTCCCCGCCTCTCGCCCAATGTCAGCTGGAATTGGGTTTGTAAACACCTGTAAACATTAGCATCTATGTATCAGTCTTTCTGTTTATCCATACAGTCCCTATATTACCATTTTGCTCTAGTTTCTCATGGGCTTGCTTGACCAAGACACAATGCCTGGACAGAGCATTGAACCGCTTCTCCACCTCGCCCAGCTGATTCAGGTGGCTGTCCTTTGACCGGCTCTGCAAGGCTAGTTTCTGTTCCTGTGGAAAAGGTAGAGTTTAAACAGCCAAAATAAGCAGAATGAATATCCAACGTGGCATAGTACTGGACACCAGGTGACACAAAACACTGCAGCAACAAATGTTTAGCTCCAAATATGTTGCAAGAATGAATGAATGACTTAATATATAGAGCTCCAAATATGTTGCAAGAATGAATGAAGGACTTAATGAACAGTAAAAACATCTTAATTGTTTTTTTGTTTTTTTTCTGTAAAACAAGCCTTTGGTACTACACTAAAACTACTGTATAGCCAGCAGCTGCTTAGCTTAGCTTAGCTTACCATATGGACCAAAAACAGCTACTACTTCCTACTAAAGTCAAGACAAAGCCCCAGGCAGTCATCTCTTCCAACCAAGAAACAGTTTTATGTATAACCAATGTAAAACCCAGGCTTTAACCTTTTCACACTTACATTTTGTTTAAATTAGTGTATGTAAATTGGTGATCTTTAGAGGTTCTGGTAGGGAGTGGATTCACTTTGAACATGGCCAGGTTAGGTGTTTACCCATGTTACCAGTCTTTATCTCAAAATAAACAAAGTTCTGCTAAAACAGAAAGTTTCAAACTCAGCATACAGATAAGACAGTGGATTCAAACTCCTCATCTACCTCTCATCAACAATGAAGGTAAGTATAATTCCCAAAGTGGCAAACTCCTCTTTAAAGGGAAAGAAAATTATATTTAAAAAAAAAATACTGTTCCATGTAAGTTGCTCAGTTTAAAGGCAGTCACAAAAAAAGAAGAGACCAAAGGCAGTGGCACAATTTGTCCAAAAGAGAATACTACAGTGGAAACAGCTGTTAAGCCACTGAGAGGGTCATGGTGTAACACAGCTCATGCCTGTCTTTTAGTGGGATGAACGAATCAACTCAGCTCATGCCTCAGAGCACTTTATCGCTCTTCAAAATGCCATTATAGTTTGATTGTCTGTATCAAGCTTATCAGATTTTTCCTCTCTCTTGCTTTGCCCACTCATTCACTTCACTCTCATTCACACTCCCTCCTATCCCTCTCTCCAGTGCACCAACTTTCTTCGACTCCCGCTCACTTTGCTGAGCACTGTTATATGAAGAAGGTTAAACCGAGCGAAGCTCAGTTATAAAATATTTTAATAGAGATATTTTCTCTGCTGTGCTGGCAGTTCAAAGTGTCACACACTCCCTGTCCGTTACTCCTGATGAGCTCTTCCCAACGTACCCATCCCTCCTTAGCACCAGTCCCTCATCCTCTTTAATTTTTCTCACTCCCACCAATCCTCTGTCAACAGTTTGTATAAGTGGAAAATTCTTCCTTACCAGATCGTTTGATTTCTTCTCCAAGTTGAACTTCAGCAACTGAAAAACAGCAAATCAGTAAAAGAAGAGCAGAGCGAGTTATTGTGTGTCAATCCAAAAAAGCGTCTCTGCTCATTTTCTCTGGCTCCAAAAACTGAAAATGGTGTGGCAGTCATCACTGACAGTATTTTCTGCACTGTAGTCCAAAATACCACATATTGATAGCTCACTTACAAAGAGCTGGAATGGAATGGAACCTGGAGAGAGACTGATTTGTCTGGTGTTATTTTCAAGGACAAGAATGAGCCTTGAATCACAAATATTACATCAAGATCAGTTCTCAGGGAAAAAAGAAAATCTATTGACGATCATCATGCAATATGACTGAAAACCCCAATATATATTTGTATTGATCTGTTGATTAGATCTTTTGATTAGTTAATCATTTTGTTTATTAAATTAGTACAAATCATCCATCCATGTATCAAAAAACCAGAGGTGCCATCTTCAAAGCCTTTTGCTCAAACAACCCAAAGATATTCAGTTTTCAGTGATATAAAACTAACTCCTCAACAACAATGAAATCATCACATCTTCACATTGGAGAAACTGAAATGAGTAATAAAACTTATTGCTATAAAATCAGTTTGTGCACATTGAAACCTTTTAGCTTCTATAAAGCCTTTATGGTTACTGTATATTTTGTCTTAGTTTTAGCTGTGCTTAAACCTTAACATTACAGGCTTCCCCTGGTGTTATCAGATTTTGGACCATTTATTACACAGCCAGCACCACTATTGATGGGATCTTCACTGTGGGGTCCAGAACCCCAGGACATCAGATAACTCCTAAGGGGTTGCAAACTAGTTTATTAATGATTGGGAAAGATTCAAATAATTTAGCCTTTTTTAAGATTTTGTCAGTCTTTTCAGGATTTGTTTAGGGTCAGCTTACAAGGACAACACCTTATCTGAGACCAGAAGACAATGCAGCATCTTGTTAATTTTAGAGGGCAGTATCTTGTTGTCCTTCCAAATATATAGCTTTATATTTTATATATATTTTGATGTATGGAAAATAAAAAGGATCACTACCTACATATAACATATTATATTATTAGAGATGTTCATCAACCTGGTCATTTATTGAGATTAAAATAACTGCAATGATAAATTATTTAGACCTAATTATGGATTATTGAACCATACTGTTCCAGTGAAGCTCAAATTTGTAATTTAGCAGATCATCAAGGTACAGCAATTAAATCACTTCATTCCCACCTGCCACTGATGTGAAAATGTGGTAAATTAAAGAAATCCACCAGAGCGTGTCACAAGAATGAATACAAGTGGGCTTGACTTTAGTCAAATACCACAGCCAGTGTCGCCCAGATAGAATATCAAAAGCAGTCTCTATTATCTCTGTAACAAGGCTTGGGTGTTAAAGAGCAGTGGACCATGGGGGTGGCCGTATATCACATCTGTGGTGTCAAGGCTGAAGATGAACATCCCAAGAGCCAGACTGGGTCATGCTAGGCACCGACATTCTACACTCGTCACTCTGGTTGGGCATGAACTTATGAATCTCTTTGAACAGTTTAATGGTAAAATAATTTCTTTCCTGATTTTAATGGAAAAATGAGAGAAAGAAAGGAAAAACAAAAGAAAGATGATGGGATGAGTGGGAATGCTGGTGTGTGTGAGAGACAGAGACATGAAGACAAGAGACTGTATGTTGTGCATGTTAGTACCTGTAATGACTTCAGCTCTTCTTTTAAGCTGTTAATCTCCTTATCTTTTAACTCAGCACTGACCTGGTACTTCCCCTAAAATGTTATATCATTATTATTGTGAATGTCAAAAAAATAACAAATGCCAAAGCACAGCAAAAAAGAATCCACACCAAGGGCCAAGACTAACTGTGTTGAGTGACTTGTCCTTGCTATTCCACTACAAACGTTAACTTAATCAAATGCATCTAGTTGATGTTGATGTTTTTGGGTCTAAGCTTTCCGTACCTTCTCCTCCTCAGTGTTTCTGACTTTGGCCTGAAACTTGAGAACAGAAAAGAAATTGATCAGAAGGTTTTAATATATTGTTTAAGATCCTGTTTAGATGAAAATGTAAAAACATACCTGCTTCTTAACATTAGCAAGTGACTCTGTGTGCTGGTTTGCCACTGTCTCAAGCTGCTGTTGTAGGGATTCCTGTCACACAGGATAACAGCTGATGATTAATGAAGTTTCAATTATCAACATATACTACTGGTTACATGAGAATGAGCACTTGTGTGAATGGCCACCTATTTAAGGAACAAAATATAGATAATAAAGATGATGATGTAAACCTTCTCCCACTCCAGCTCCTGCTTCTCCAGCACCAGTTTACTCAGTTGATCCTCGAAGCGTGCCTCTGCATCCTGGACCATGGAAAGACATCATTTACACAAAGCTGACACTTAAATCTAGCCAAGACCAATATTGTCTGAAGATAAAAGTAACGTTTGAGGAGGCAATGACTGGTACAGTGTGATCTTAGCATGCATGGTGCAGACTGAAGCACTACTGTTTCCTCTACTCAGTGGGCAAATAACTCTTTTGGCCAAAATGCAAACTGTTTCAAGTTTCCTTGGTTCATTCCTCCATATCTTTTGTAAAAGCGTCCAGAGAAGGGGAACATTAGAAGGGAGGTGATATTTGTGGAAAGCCACCCCTATCCTCCTTCTTCCCCTGAGAAGGCAGGTAAAAGTCATTTGCTCTGTATATCCACCGGCCTTTTTATGAGCATGTGGGAGCTGGTCAACTCACTGAGTTTATTTTGTAAGTTCTTATTAAACTATGCTAGCAGAGTGGCACTCCACTTAAAAAAACACAGTGCACACCAGATAAATCTGTTGTTTTCCATTGAGGAATAATTACTGTGTGCAAGTATATTTAGACACTAGAAAGCTTTATTAAGCTAGGTAATCCACGTAAATCAAAAAAGGCAACTGAAAATTAACCATATATAGTTTAGATTTTGCTACACAATATATAATTTTACTTCTTATATATTTAAATCATGTGTTTGTCATGGCCTGTCCTCTCTATACAGTTTTATTGCTGTTCTGAATTAATGCCTTTTATGAGTCATTACAAGAGACAAAAAAATAAGCATCTGAGCATAAAAATGTGATCCTTTGTTTAATAGTTTAGTTGCAAGAAGTTAGACGGAGCATTAATCCCAAAGTGTCCATCACGTTACTGTGATAAGTCACAATCTAAACGTCATTTACATCTCACTTATAATAACAGATATTTATTTCACACTGGGTTTCATATGTAATCATTCCCCTTAAACAACATCTTTTCCAACATGTAATGAAGTATACCAATATATCACATCCTTACCAACTCAAGCAGAGGGCTATACTGTATTACAAAAAAGAAAAAACATTGGAATTTGACCTGCTCAGGAACGTCCGGGATCATCATGACATCCTTTTGCTTCTTAACCTCTCCACCCAGTGAACAACACAACTACAAAGCGCTACTCTGATAAGAGCAGCGCCTGAGGAGGATCAGACTGATATACCTTCTTATGTTTGTTTCCCAGTTAACATGACTATAACAATAAAAACTAAATGGCAGTAAACATCCAACATCCCATTTTTGCTCCCCTAACCTTTAAGCACACTCAGGATGTGTTGTAAGGTTGAAAAGACTTGCTGGAGGGTACAAACCATTATTTAGTTTTTGTTATTTTTACAAACAAATACACTTCCTACTTACTGGTCATGTGCCAAAAGGTTTGTGTGACCCTTATTTTGAGGCAGTGTGTAGCAATTTTGTCATTTCTTTCAGAGATACTTTCTGTATAGCTGGTTTTCAGTAGTTACAAATATGAGTAGATATTATTTCTTCAAATTGGTGGACAAAACAAATCCTAAGGGTCTTTAGATGACTCATCAGATGTGAATGAAGATATTACATTTAGTACATTATATAGTACATTTATTCACAAGTTCTTCTAAACGTAGCTTTTGTAAATTACTGGTCAATGTGATCACCTTAGGCCTCTAGTGGAAATACTGCATGCCATCAGTGATGAGGGGCCACACATACATGTCATAAGGGATTACAAGCAACCAGTGTTTGGGACTCTTTTAGACTGTGACATCGTGGATAAAAAAGACAAACACCTGCTATCACATTATGTGCAGACATGAGAAACCATTATGTAGATGATGGTGCTGAGCCTTCACAATAATACTACTTGAAATTTTAACCAAAAGAAAAACATTTTTTCAATACTGCAGCAATATAAATAGCCACACAGTGAGAAACTCTGCTACAATTGTTACTATACCCTTCGGATATGCAGCTCCTCTATAGCCTCAAGCAGATGGGTTTTAAATTCCAACAACTGTAATAAGATGGTGCCTCCACTTTCTGTTTGACACTGAGTACTAGACAGAGACAGCTCCTGCTCCAATGCAGGTCCTCCTACCTGAAAAATTAAAATTAGTGCTCCTAATTTAGCTACTTAAATACTTTAGAAGAAATACATCACTTTGGCAAAACATGAAAAACTTTGGTTATATGTCAAGACTGTAGCAGAAAGACAAAGCATGTTTAAAGTAATTCCTTCATCCACACAATAAGATAAGGAGAATAGCCAAACTTTAACTAAAGGCAAGCAGTTAAACAACATAGATATGTGATATATCACACAGTGGCAATATGAATAACTATTGTAGGTATCCCGCAATTTCAGGGAAACATACAGAAAATATGGATACAAAAATTAGATGGCAATAATAGCCAGTAATAGCTTATTTCATCTTATATTGAAATGAATAAACAAATCAGTTGATTAATGTTATTTGCCTTGTCTGCTACTGTCAGAAGTTGTAACTTACAGTGGTGCGGGTGGAGAGTGGCCCAGAGTCGGAACTGAAATCCATTGGGTTGCTTCTGGCCAGCCCAAGATCCCACTGAGTTTCTGCTGCTTGTTAATCAAGAAAAAACACTATGTTGAAAACGCTTAATAGAATAGGATGTTTAATGAGCAGTAACATTCTGATTTTCCACTTATAAGCTTATAATTACTTCCTCATTTGCAATTTTTACTGCTAAATGATTTTATTAGAAATAATAGGCTAGCACATTCGAGTCTCACAGTGTTTCTCAATCACTGCAATCTAATCTAATGGCTTTGAAATGACCATTAGGGTTTTTTCTTTCTTTGTATTACACCACAGTGCAATGAGAAGATAAGACCTTGATAAGCTATCTAGGTTAAAATGAACCAGCCCACTGGCACTAACAGGGGTCAGAGCAATAACACTGAATGGACAAATTGCATTGTCAATGCTTTTTAAATTATCTAGGTTATTTCATTTGACCTGTGGATGGTCCTCTGCTGCTGTCTCTGTCCCCTCAGCATAACCAAGAAACTGAGTGACACACGCACTGCATACACGCAAACACACACCTAATGGAAAATATGACTATTTAAGTGGGAGGTCTCCACTAGCCACTGATCTCTTAATAGAACAGACCTTTTTTCCCATTTAACCTATGCTGGTATCAATCATTTTGGAGAATTAAATGATCCCTGCTAGAATTGGCTACTATCATAAAATGACACTGTGACCCCAGGCTGAGGAGGGAGGAGATGTGCAAGCGTGTGTTAGTGTGTCAAAGCCATAGTGTTGGTGTGTCTTATGTGCACAGTGGGAATGTGTATGGAGCTGTGAATGAGGGAGTAAACCACAATGTCCTTACTTGCTTCTCTTGCGATTTATTTGAGCAGGTATTAACCAATGTCTCTAAGTCATGAAAAGACAAATTAAAATAACTGCCAACCATTGAATGGGAATGTTTGTATCAAACAACATGATGTCTATATTAACATCTGGTGAGCTATGTTTATAACTGTTCTGTAATGCACTACAGAAAGATTCACTAACGCACCTAGATTGTAATACTAATTACAGTGCAGCTAATAGCAATACAATTCAATTCTAGTGTAAAAGTGTACTACAGTAGGCTGTTTTTACATTTTGCCATGAGACACGGGTATAAATAATGACATTATACATAATATTTTGAAGTAGAATACTCATTCAAAATAATATGTAATAATACTCTAATACTTGATAATACTTTCTACTTCAATTTCCTTCTTGAAAGTAAGGAAGCCATTGTTAATATTAACACCTGTTCTTCTCCTACAGGGCAAATGCACAATGCACAGCATACTGACATTTAGAGTTTTGGTGGGGTTTTAAATAGCAACCTATGGTAAAATGACAAGCTCTTTATAAATGGTAACTTTCTCTTTCATGCGTTCTAAGTTTAAATATTAGTTATAAGCTGTATTATTCTAAGTCACAGACATCTGACTCTTTTATCAGTTTAAATTAGTCCCCAGTTTCTAAATATTGGCTACATAACATGCGGCAGCTTTAAACTGTCTTAATGCTAAGTGCCCATTAGCTCGCAATTTTAGCTAAAGATGCTAATTTCAGTTAGAATTCATTACATTCCACATAGGTCTGGTATAGTTTTATGTTTTCTCTTTGACTTAAATTAACCAATGAATGCATGAAATTAACGAAAAGTTAATGAGCCAGAACTGTAGCAAAATAAACAGCGTAGTTAGTTAAGTTACCTTAAAAGGGAATGTTAGTTAGCATAACCCTCCTACTTGGTACCATCAACTAAAATAAACAAATATGGAGTTCGTCCATTAATTTTAAGATATGCTGTTTTGAAAATGTTAATTTTGCTTAAAATACTTGTCAAATTAGTCTAGTAAAACAGGATTGTTGATACAATTTACAAGCAAGCAAATACAATACGGACCTCCAGCCAGCCGAGTTGGTGCCCTACAGCGCCCTCGTGCGCCCAGGCATATGAAGTCCTCTGAGCTCGTGCTCAGAAGAGGCGTTCAATTAATAGAAACGAAAACTTTTCATAAACAACAATTAGGGGATTAAACGTGGCAATGCCACAGAGACACTAATACAAGTGGCACCATAGTTTTGCATTATTAACATATAGTATTACAGAGGTAAAACTACACAAATTAACACATTTAAAGGATTCAAAATCTCGGCACCTTTCATAAAGGCAGTGCTCTTGGTGTTTATGGTTTTGTAGGCCTATCTAGTAACTATACAAATTAAAACATATATAGCCTACCTATAGAAAATCGTCTCTAACATAGATTTATTTTTTGTTGCATTAGAAATTACTATTATGATTTAAAGAAACAATACTAATTTATACAGGATTTTTACTTTGTCTTTTTATAATCATTTATTGATTGATGTCTGCTGCATCAACAATGCTGCCTCTCTGATAAAGGGAAAATTTATGGCAGCGCATTCAGAGCTGTTTATTTCAGATTAGTGACTATTGTTTAGTGTGTTACGGCGTCTGTAATGTTAAATCAACACAACACCGCCCAACATCCTGTAAAATCTGACCAGGAACCGATTACATTCCTGTCAAAGAGGAGTTTATTGTGACTTAACGGTTGGTGCCATCTAGCGATTACAATTTAAAATTGCACACATATTAAAGGTGACTACACCAAAAGTAAGAAGAAGAAGAAGGAGAAGGAAGGTGCTTCTCCTTGAACGGAGCTGTTGGCTACTTCTCTACCCTTTTTGTCAATTAAAGAACTGCTTCTCTGACAGTTTTCCAAATGATTGGTAGCTATGGCCTCAATAAAGGAAAGAGCTGCGGCGTTGAACCTCGCAGAGAAACTGTGTGTGCGTTCTCCGGGTAAGTTAATTACAGGCGACTTTCAACCAGGTGATGTCTGCAACTCCAGAAAGGCCTGTTAGTGCATCTGAAAAGTTTGCTTCATGCTCAGCATCAGTGATAATGTAAATGCACAAATATATTCCTGAAGGTTCTGGCACAGAAAATGAAAGTGCCCGGCCTTCGCTTAATGTAATAATTAGCCCCATATCACTTATACTGCTCAAAAACATCAGCTTTCCCGAGTCTTAACTAATGTCTCCACTGAACTTACACTTATACATTTTCCTCTCAATTTGTCTTATTTACTATTTATCTGTACTGAAACTCTGCAGTCGTTATCTGTAAAATATGATGATAGTTGTCCTCAGATCATGTTCCTCTGTGACTTTGTCTTAGCACATGGAGTGAGCAGTCATCCAGTGAAGTCTGCCTGCTTGTGGAGTGGCCTCATCTCTCACCTCAGGTCCTGTGTGACAGTGAAGCGTCGACGAGTCCACTTTAAGTCCCACAGTGACTGTTTCCTTGGCTCAGAAGCCGTTGATGTGTTGGAAGAACATATTAACCGTTTCAAAGGCTTACAGGGTGCGTTTGCTGGGGGACACTGGGTCATTTTCTCATATTTTACATCAAATAATTGGGTGGATATTTCATCTGAAGGTTCTTTATGCTCTGAACCATCTTGCCAGTATAAAAACATTCAACAAGATATTATTCAAACCTGTTTGATTTCAACTAAAGGTGCAAAGGTGTCACGAGACAAAGTAGTGTGGGTGTGCCAGGCTCTTTTGGACTGCAGTGTGTTTGAGGCAGTGGAAACCAAAGTTTTTGGGACGGAGAAGAAGCAGGATGTGTTTCAGGACAGCAAGAGTACTCTTTACAGGTGACAAGAGTTCTATCAGGCAGCCATATGGGCTGTAAATATGTTCATATAGTAACCTTTTTGCCTTTAAAATGTTACATACAGGTTTGTAAATGTGCACATGCCTTCGGTTGATGAGCTGGAGAGAATTATTCCTGTGAGTGGGATCCAAAATCTCTTCTGCAGTGCTCCTGCAGACAGGTATGGAGTACACATCATACTCCAAGTTACCAGTTTTTACATGTGCAATTCTTTCCAGCACACTGAGGTTCCCAAAATATTAGGATTGCCTGTCATCATAATGCTTTCAGCCTTACACAACAATACTAACCACCCTGCATAGTAACAATTGTACTCGGTATTAAAATGAAACATTATGAGCTTTAATACTTCAAGACAATCACTGTACACTGAACTGTTTTATGTGGACAGTTTGAAGGAGATGACTTAACATTTAATGATGGTGTCAATCTATTATGTGTCATTCAGCTTAATTAGAACAAGGATGGAAAACATAAAATCTGAATGTTTGTTTTTATTTTCGAGTGAATTAAATATCTGACCAGTCAATGTACATAATTTCAATTTTCAAAATTGTGTAAGTCATGTTCACTGACTTGCAGTGATTCAAGCAGAGATGTTTATAGAAGAGTTGCCTCTAAACAAGTGGTGTAAATCTCTACAAGATTTATTGACTCAAAGTATATATAATTATTTGGTCTAACCTGTACTGGAATTCTCAGAATGCTTCCCAGCATGTCACCAATAGGAGCTCTCCACTGTCTGTGTTTTGCTTCCAGGCAGGAAGAGCTGACATGTCCTGCTGGGTCACATGTCCAGTTGTCCACCCCTGTTAAGTTCACTCAGGCATCCACAAAAGCAAACCAGCTGGACACTCCTGTGAGTGCCAGCCTGCTGCTGGAGCCAGTGGTGGACAGACCGAGCCCAAGTCCCAGCAGAGCGCACACTGGTGCTGTTTTACCACAGTCATGTAAGTCAACAGTGTCATCACATGCTTTCATCAACTTGTGTGTTTACTCACCTTAAAGCACAGATGGAGATTTTGGGGGGCCCATATAGCTCATTAACGAAACAAACAATTTATAATTTTTTTCTACAGTTTAAACATTACATTTCACACAGTTACCAGGTCAAAAGGAATTAGCCTGTCCCAGCATGCAGTGGGCAAAAGGCAGAGAAGATCATTTCTAGTACCATTTCCTTTAAAAATGGAGCTGCGTTGATGGAAAATTCTCTTAACGCCTGAAGATTTCTTTGACTTGACTCGTGATGATCAGGTGTCCAACAAGTGAAGTTTTGGTGTAAACACTGAATTTAAACACCAACAGGTGGAGCAGAGAAAGAAGAGGAGGAAGCTTAATTTTTATTTTTTAAATCTTATGATTTTTCCCCCTAGATTAGGTTATACAACTGTACAAATGGGTTTTTTGTAATAGTTTTGTGTTGGCTCCACTCCGCAGTGGTAGATGAGGTGTGGCAGGAGCAGACGCTGCTCAGGCTGTTAAACCTGGTGGAACTCCCCCTCTTGGAAGGGGTGCTTCAGTGCTCCCAGACACCATCGTCTCCCACTTCATCACACCTGTTGGCTTACGGTAGCCCCGACCTGATCTACAGCAGCAACTATCTGGACAGACAGATCCTCAAGGCGTTCAGGGACACTCAGTATGTTTGGCTTTTTTATGCCCTTTTCTAGGTGGCTGCTGCTCACAGTGCCTGAATAAAGCCACCTGTGTTATAAGTTATTGAAATATTAAACGTATAGAAAAAATATACGTTACTGCCTGAAAAAGTGAAGGAGAGTATAAAGGAATATTAATTAAAGGTGCATTAAAGCTGCAGTATGGCCAGTGTTGCTACCTTTGGGCAGAGCTACGCAGGCTGGATGTTTGTCCAGCAGCTGATAGTTTTATATTATATTTATATAGTCAATCTTTTTATTTTATGCTCAGTAAATGATCATAAAATATGATCTGATCATCTAGGTCACACATATAGACAAACACAATGTGCTTAAGATAAAATGCAAACAGTTATCTTTGTTTTTATTGAGCAGCCATTAAACATTCACAGTAAAAAAGTAATCAAACCCATGGATTTAATAAGTGGTCAAAGCGCCTTTGGCAGCATTAACCCCAAACAGCTGCTTCCTGTAGTTGTGGCTCAGACCTGCACAATGGTCAGGAGGAATCTTGGACCACCCTCACAGAGCTGCTTCAGGTCAGACGTATTCTTAGGATGTCTGGTGTGAATGGCTCTCTGAGCTCATTCCAGGGCGTCTCTGCTGGATGGACAGCTGGACTATGACTGGAGCGCTCCAGTCCTCTGTGGTGTGCTGCGCCATGATTAGATTGTTATTTATTTATTTTGCCAAGTACGGTTCACATCAATAGGTGCTTTTTGCGAATAACAAACTCAAAGTATTTCTCCTGATCTAACCTACACTGTCAGCATTTCAATGATATATTCAATATGGACAAAAACAGTACAATGATTTTAATACATTGTGAACTCTGAAGGCCTCATTTTAAGACATATTTATACAGAAACGTGTTGTAACTTTAAAGGGTTCACTTACTTTTTCTCTTCACTGTATCTTTATCACTAACTTGACAAATATTTTTTTAATTTTAATCGGTAACATTTTTCTTTTTAAATTCCTTCTCATATCTCAGGGAAGATGAATGGCTGCATGCAGCTTTGGACTGCTTGGACTTCCTCCCTGATCAGCCAGTGGTGGAGCTGAGCAGGGAGCTACAGCACTGTTTCCCTCTAAATCGGGAGAGATGTGACCAAGTCCCAGCTGGCAGCAGTGTCCAAGATGTGGGCAAGTGATGGGTGTCAGAGTGGGGGCACATCAGTCATCATTTGCGCTTGTTTGTCATAATAAGATGTTATAGTATTTAGTATATATTTTTTAAGTTTAATACATGCATTTGACTGGATTCAACTTGTGTGCACAATAAAACGGTCCCTTTCTGTATTTCTGACCCTAGTGCAGCCTGTGATGTCTGTGTCCGTTCCAGGCCACAGCAGCGATGAGCAGCCTCATCACTCCCACAGTAGTTTGGCCCGGTGCAAGCGGCTGCTGTATGAAACTCTGGTCAAACACTACAGCCACACAGAGAGACCTTCACTGCTTCCCCAGTGCATGACTGACATCTACACAGCCATCATTGACCTCCTGGGTAAGAACTAGAACTGTGGCTCAGACACTGTAGTTTGTTAAAATAAAACTTATGTTTGTCACTTACTTAGATTCACATTGTCCAGGTGTAAGTGAACAGAGTTGTGCAGTCATTATTTTTCTCTTCTCAACCAATCTGACTTCAGTATATATTTGTGTCCCCATACACCTTCTTGCCTTCTCAGTGAATGCGAAGTTGGGCGCCGCTCTCGAGGCTCTACAGCTATGCCTGAAGCTGCTGCCACACAGCTGCAGAGAAGAGCTGCGCAGGCTGCTTACATTCATGTCTTTGGCAACAAATCCACAAGGGATAAAACTGGACAAGGAGGTGAGAGACACACATAACTTGTGACTAAATCTTACACTGAAAATGCGTAATTCCAGTGTCCAAAGATATCATTTCTAGACACTGCAAGTCACAAATGTGGTGCAGTATTCTGTTATAGAGGTGAGAGACAAAAGGGGGAGACTTGCTGCCACTGTTGTACTGTTTTATTTTATTTTATTTATTTTTTAGTAATTTGACATTGATGTGTTGATGGTGCTGTAGATGGAGAACAGACTGGCAGTGAAGAGGTGCTTCACCAAGGCAGTTGTCCACAGCAAGGTGCTTTCCAAAGACAAGGTGGACCTGATGGTGGTCTTCATGCTCAGCAATGTAAAAGAAATCTTCAAGGTAGGGAATGCTGTCAAAATATATTTTGCCTCCTCAGATCTTTGGCCTGACTTGTTAGATAATCCACAGGTTATTTTAAAGCCTTACTGGCTGTAGCCTTTTAGTATTGTTCTTCCATTCAGAGGCAGTTTTTTTTTTTTTTAAAGAACGGTCAGAATTGAAGCAGCAGAGACCACGATTTAGTCTGCACTGTGGATTAAGCTCCAGAAACCATCCATCCTACATTTCAACTTGCCTGTAGCTATCAACAGGAGCTGGTAATATAGAAATCACACTTGCAACCAGTTAAAATGGAGAAAAGTTGACTCAACACTGAGCATGGAGAAAAGAAAGAGGATGAATAATTGTCTGAGGATTTGAGAACCACAATAGTGGAAAATCCTGGATAATCTCAAGGCTATAAGTCCATCTCCAGAGATCTGGCTGTTCCTGTGTCCACATTGCAGATGTTCAAGACGTTTACAGCCCATGGCGCTGTAGCTAATCTCCTTGGTCATGGATGAAAGAGAAAAACAGGTGACAGATTGCAATGAAGGATTGTTCCAATAGTGATAAAGAACCTCAATCAACTTCCAAGCAAATTCAAGTTGACCGACACAGGGTACAACAGTGTTAGTTCGCACTATCTGTCGCCATCTGAATGACAAGGGGCACTATGGTAGGAAACCCTGGGGGACGCCACTGCTAACACCGAGACGCAAAAAAGACAGACTGGAGTTTGCCAAAACTTACCTGAGGAAGCCACAGTCCTGTTAGATTTTATCCAAGTTCTTTTATTGAAAGCATGAGAAATGAAGACAGGAGAGGACTGTATAAAATCAGAAGGTTGAACCTGGGCACAGGTAAAGTCTTACAGCACTGAGATCAGAGAGACAGAGCTCATGCAGGAAATCCGTTCTCTGAACCCTGAGTTACGTTTTCTTATTACATTTATCTTCTTGGGCTAGGCCCGCCCTGGACAGAGGTACAACATTTCACACTTTGTAATCCTATTGGCCATTTGGCGTGACCAGGTCAACCCCTGCCTGCATCTGCTTGCTGAAATGTGATCTAAACCGTGTGTGTGTGTGAGAGTGTGAGTGAGTGAGTGTGATTCTCAGACGGCCACTTGATCAATGAACACCGAACAATGGGTTGTCTGTGCTGCAGGCCCCTCTCTGTGTGTGATGCTATTGCAGGACCTAGTGAGTATGCTAAACGGGCCAGGTGGTCATGTCAGGTTGTAGGCCCCCTGTCTCTGCAGGATGCCCCATGACAAAGAAGGACTTGGAATATGCTAAGCGGGTCTAGGTGAAGGTGCAAAACAGGCCAACAGGTCTTTGTTAAAATGTAAAATAGGCTATCTGGTTACTTGAAGATACAGACATCCTGTCTCTACAGAATTTGCAGCATGCAGTTCCAAAGTTTCACTTAGTAGAATACAGCAGTCATCAATACAGTTTTAATATGTATAAGCAAGGAAAATAAAGGTATGGAAGGTAACTAAAAGAAAATGAAGAACTGAAAAGTAACTTAAAGGAAACTAAAGTTATGAAAAGTAACTAAAGCTTATAAAGTAACTAGAGCCTATAAGAACCAAATCTTACAATTCCCCCTTTGGCATGATTTTATCTGTAGGAGCTGTCATGTCTGTGCAGATTCTCAGTCATCCAGGTCATAGTAAACTGAAAAAATTTAGAAAGGCTTGTGGATACCCTAAGTGGGCCTTCACCAAAGCAAGGAAGAGGCCCAACACCAACAGGGAGAAACCAGAAACAAGAGGGGATAACACTGTCATCCCTTATGTGGCTGGTTTATCAGAGAAGTTAAAAAGGATATTTCACAACCACAATATCCCAGTTAACTTTAAACCAGGGAACACCCTGTGGCAGAGACTGGTCCACCTGAAGGACAAAACACCCAGACTTAAACAGAGTGATGTGGTGTATGCAATTAGGTGTAGTCAGGAGTGTAACGACTTGTACATTGGTGAAACTAAGCAGCTGCTTCACAAACACATGGCCCAACACAGGAGGGCCAACTCCAGTGGACCAGAGTCAGCAGTCCACCTCCACCTGAAGGACAAAGCACATTCTTTTGAGGACAGTGAAGTCCAGATCTCTCCAGAGAACATCGCTGGTTTGAGAGAGGTGTTAAGGAAACTTATTTTTGTAAAAATAGAACACCCCTCACTAAATAGGGGTGGTGGACTAAGACACAACTTGTCTTCCATCTACAATCCTGTTTTGAGATCTCTGCCCAAACATGCCCACCAGGACAATAGGCGTCGGTCGACAGGGGAGGATTCAAAGACAGGTAACGACTCTCACCGATACTGGGCTATAACGACTCAGTCGTTAAGGGACATTGTTGGCCTTTAAAGGACTGAAACACCACCGAGGGGGGTAAATATCTTCGGCTCAACACCAGTCAGTCAGAACTGATGAAGCCTCTTGGATGAGAGGTGAAACGTCTT